ACAATCTTTATTAATGACTAAAAAGTTTACATACAACTTTCTAGTCATTAATAAAGATTTCTTCTTCTTGCCAAATTTTTGAATACATTTCCCGAAATTGCGACCACGACATATCTGTATTCACATGTTCGTGATATACATGTGGTAAATTTATATCATCTTGTTTGAATAATATTATAAGGTTTGCATTGTCCCTTACTAGTTGTTTTGGTATTTTACTATATGTTTGGTTTAAGTAAAAACAATCAATAAATTTATGTCTGCCCATAGCGAAATAATCTCGCATATTAGTTTGATTCTCACATGCAACATCATCAAAAATTATTATAGAATGGGGCTTAGCATCGTGTGGACTGAGAATCAATTCATTATCACTGTAATTGGCAAATGTAACGCTAGGTATCAATTTAAAGACGTTCTCTAAATAAATGTACTTAGTTTGATACAGTGTTTTTGAGTATAAATATACATTCTTAAAATGTAATCCATTTTCATGCAACAGAAGACCTATTATTAAATTTGTTTTTCCACAGTTTGATGGACCGCAAACTAAACACCGAATTGAATTAGGAAGCAAGTTTCCATGTCGAGAAATAACTGTCTCAGTATCTGAACAAATTTTATTCAATTCAACGTTTGAGATTGTTTTACAAATTTCATAGTAGTGTTTCGAGTGTTCTAGATAAAATGAGTCAATTTATACAAATTCCACTATTTATATAAAGTGCGAATAATCAAAAACATTCTATGCTTTTAGTCAAAAAGCTACGAAATCAAATGTAATATCCATTTGTAATATTGGACATTCTATCATTCCGTGAGTGCATATCGGCAGAGGGTTCCTCAATTTAAAAACTGGTTGGAGATTTGGTTTCTTATTTATTAGATAATTGAAGTGGAATTAAAAAACGAGGTAACGAATATCCTCTTTCGTTCGCTCGGGCTTGCGCCCTCACTCCTCGTGGGGTGAAATGCCCAATAACCATCTACTTCGGTGAGTAGATAGTGTATATGATTGAGTGTGTGAGAGAGGGTGTGTATGAGTAATGTTATAAAAATAAAAAATAAAAAAAAATAAAAATAGTACCCAATAGAATAGGTCAAAAATCAATTTTCAGAAGTCCCTCAGTTTCCTGGTAATTTAATGTCTTTAATAACTGAATAATTGCCGTCTTGCAACAGGACCTGGTCATTGGATAGGAGGATGTTTATCATTCTGTTAATCTTGTTATATAAGAAGGGGGCCAAAAAACATTGGTGTTTGTTAACGTAAGGGTGTTTGAATGTGGGTGCCCAAGAGGTATACCGGCGACGCAAAGTATTTGCACCTGCATTATATGTCTGCTTAGAGTGGTGCGCAAGAATGGAGTGCAGAATGAATAATTGACGGACTGTGAGAACATTGCATGACTGATATAGGTCGTAGGACGTAGGAAAGAAAAATGGTCGGAATGTACTGACTTTCAACACAGCCCGCTGAGCACGTTCCAATTGCATCATTGCGTCCCCAGTAGCACCACCCCAAGACCCTATGCAGTATGTCAACAGCGATTGGCATAATGTCAGATAAACCCCTGATATCAGCTCCCGATCGGCAACATGTCTCAAGGCTTTAAAAATGTATATGAGTTTACGAACTCTAGTACTCAGATTTTGTAAGTGTGTCTTGAAATTGAGCTTAAAATCCACAGTGATACCAAGATATTTTATATTATTGGCACATAATAACTCCGGGCAGTCTGAGCACTTTTGATTTTGAAACTTGCAGGTATGAGCTATTATTCTATATTGTGTTATCGGTGTGTGTGGAGTTCGCATTGAGAACATAATATATTTGGTCTTATCCGAATTGAGTGTAAGTATATTTTGACATAGCCATGAACAGACCCTATCAAAACCATTCTGAGCCTCAACAAAGACTTTCTGCCAAGAGGAGGCCGAAAATACAAGGGCAGTGTCATCGGCGTATGAAATTATTATTTTTAAATGGAACCAAGCTGCAGAGATCATTAATATAAATAATGAATAAAGTTGGGCCTAATATTGACCCCTGAGGAATGCCGTATAAGATAGTTTCCTCCTTACTTATGTGTTCTCCTAGCACAGTTGATTGGCTTCGATTCATTAAGTATTCTCGGAAAATTTTCAATTGGACACCGCGTATACCCAACACTTCTAGTTTATGTAAAAGAATGGGAACCGAAACCGTGTCAAATGCCTTTGCAAGGTCAATAAAAATCCCCAAGACCTTCTCTCCAGCATCCATTCTCTCAACGATAAAGTTAGTGATTTCAGAAACCGCATCCGAGGTAGACCTGCCTCTTCGAAATCCAAATTGATTATCAGAAAGAAGATTTTTTGACTCAAGAAAAGTGACGAGAGCTTTATTTATGAATTTTTCTAATAACTTGGATAGAGCTGGAAGAATTGATATCGGTCTATAATTATTTACGGTTGTTTTATCACCACCCTTATAAATGGGGTGCACGAGAGATTTTTTAAGAGCTTCTGGGAATACTCCATGGGTCAGACATAGGTTAAAAATAGCAGCTAATGGAGGTGAAAGCACGTGTTTATATCGTTTTAAAATGTAGCCTGAAATTCCATCCCATCCGATAGCCGTGCAATTTTTTAATTGAGTGATGAGTAAACTGACCTCACAAGCATCTGTTTCCAGGATCACAAATGATGACATGCAGCCCTTTATTGTAGTTGTTGGGATAGAGCATGGGTCAATGCCATATTTATGATAGTTCACATCAGCCAGCCTTCGACCAACATTCACAAAAAAACTATTAACATTATCCAGAGATTGTTGACGATCAGCATTGTCTATTAATTCAACGGCGTTATTTTTTGGTTTGTTTGTAAGAGTAATGTTTTTTATAGCCTGCCATAACTTTTTGTTATTATTACCCGCTGCTCTTAATTCCTTCCTTTCGTGTTCGCGTTTAAGTTTCCTAATCAGTTTATTACAAAAATTTCGGTATCTATTACATGTTGTGCGCAGAATATTGTTATCCGGGTTTGATTTAAGTTTCAGTTGCATGCGGTCTCTATTTCTCATACAACGAAGCAATCCTGGCGTCAGCCAAGGTTTGAGGATTTTTTTGCGTCTTGATATTTTTTGAGTAGTGGAGTGCTTCGAAATACATCTCTGAAGAGATGAAATCAAATATTCTAAAGATAGATTTGGGTCATTGGAGTTATATATAGGTTCAAAATCTATGTCTTCAATCTCAGAGTCTAGACCAATGTAATCTATAACCCTTCTGTTGGATGACTCTTGGAGCCGATTAATCGTTTTTTGAAGACATAGCATTACTGAATCGTGGTCCGTTATAGAGGACTCAATCACAAATGCAAATGAAGATTTCTTAGTTTTAAGTATAATGTGGTCTAGACAGGAGTTGTCTCTAGTTGGTAAGTTATGTGCTGTTAGTAATCCATGAAAGGCACATATGTTCAGGTATTCTTGTACGTTGCTGTCAGAGTTTTCCATCATAATATTCAAATTAATATCACCTATTATAATTATATTTCTACAGGAAGAAAAGTGAGAAAGGATTTGATTTAATGAATTTAGAAAGGGACTCAGATTTCGGAATGCTGGTGGGCGATAGATGGCTATGATGGCAGTCTCGCTATTTAAATTAATAACAAGACAATTACAATCCTCAAAAGTAGGCTCGATTACTTTATGTTGTAAACTTGATTTAACATAGACCAGTAAACCATCGTTTTGGTTATAATTGTCAGTTGTGGCATAGGAATTATAACCGTCCAATTGTGGAACCACCGATGCCTCCGATAACCAGCATTCGGTAAGAGTAAGGACGTCACAGTCGAAACCCAGCCGACTAATGTGGACAGAGAACAAGTCGATATTACATGCTATACTTCTTATATTTTGTGTTATCACTGAGAGGAAATTCAACGGTGTATTTGATAGGTATCCGATGCAATCCTCAGCTTTACACAAAACGGGTTCAGATATACTTATATTGTCTATTTCCTTGATGATATCATTTCCTGCCATTACATTGCACTCTTAAGTAAAATAGGGACCGACATATACTTCCAGCTCCGGTTATTTGGGAGTAAAAACCTTGAGACCAACTTGACCATAGATAAACAAAATTCAAGCGACAACCCTGAGCATTGACCAGTTTCAAAGCAATAATTGGAAAAGCTAGTTTCGAATAAATAGCATTGGTATGCTTTAAGAAAAAAAATATGATAAATGTAAATATAAAACAATATGTTGAATATCAGTCTGTTTTTCTTTAAATAAGTTGTAGTTTTTAAGTGAATTTATTTTGTAAATTCTTTTTTGCAAGTATTGAATAATAATATGTTAAATATGATTTTGAAATTGATTACGGTTTCTGATACAATTTGTATATATAGCATATATGTTAATTTAGTGTATATGTAAGGAGAGTAATTACAATGTTTTACATTTAAAAATAGAAGTAGTACAAAGATTAACTTATAAATTAATTGAAACGTACAATAAAAAAATAAATATATATCTATGCACAGTCATTTGTGTTCCTTTTGCAGTTTCGCGATGGTCTCCTGGTTCTCAACGCGAATCAGTTTAGCTCCCTCCTTCTGCCGAATATATATTTTCCCATGAATGGTCCAAGCAAAATTTGTATTGGTTAGCTCTGCAAAACTCACGCGCACAGAAAAAATAGTTTTTTCCCTTCGAGCGTCAGGGACTCAGAAATGTAAATGGGCTTAGGCTGTCCGTTTAATTTAATATGAGAGCCACTAAATTTTTCTCCCGAATTATTGTGTCTTTTATAAGCCTGTATTAAATTGTCCTATAAAATAACTGAGTTAAGATCAACAATAACCGGTCTAGTAACATCGGGCCTACTAAATGGACGGTCGACATCCCGTATATCAGATTCCATAATATCGACTTTTAAAAACTGACCTATATCTCTTACTACTTTCGACAACGATTGCTTATTCTCATTTTTCATTTTTTAAATATTTCTTATCTCTAGCTTTGTAGCACTGGCGCTCCTTTCCAGAGATTCAATTTTGTTTTTTAACTCATAAATGTATTCATTATTGTTTCTGCGTTCCTTCTTTAATGTTTCCAATTCATTCAAAACGTCATCATATTTTGTTGACAGTAATTCTATTGAAGTCCGTATCTCACCGTTTTGAATCTTGATATCCGTTATAGTTTGCTGTAAAATGCTTAATTTGTTGTTTTGCTCCGCTGTGAATTTGTTAAACATAGTGCGTACCTCATCCATGAATTCATGATAATCATTTTCACGTCTTCTTTTTTGGCGGCTTGGAATCAGCTGCCGTTGAATATCTCCCGCATCATCCTGGGTGCGACCACTCACACTCTCTGAGTCCGTTTCGGACTGCGACAGCTTCAGTGGTGTCCGCTTTAATGGCATGATTAGCTCAGAGCAAAAGCAAGTACCAGGATCGTAGCAATGCAAGGCGTTAGCAAATGGGTATATTGCAAAGTTACTCACGTGGTATTGTGAAGGCGTGTCACGCTTGCTAATTGGTGGTATGCGCCGTCCGAATACGTCCCCAAGCGAGGCGGGCGCAGTGTCCTTTCACCAGTGACAAGCCGCAGCACGTAGTGGGAGGAACAATTGTTCGATGTAGGCAGGGGTCTTAGTTCTTCACCGCAGACAGATGCGCTCCTAATTTTTTGTTTGATTTTATATCGTTAAAATGTTTTATAACTTAAAATTTCAATTAGAATGGGTTTAGAATACGTCTGCTCGGTAACGAGGTCCGGGGGGGAAGAGGAGAGCATATATACAGGGAGCCCCAAAACGACCGACACAGCTGAAAGTTTCAAGTTAGGTAGCACGCAAATGTTCATTTTTTTTAACAAATATTTAAAAATAGATAAGACGAAAAACTGGTGTTAAGAAAAATAAAATCTAAGTGTTAACAGCCCTTTAACGCACACACGCTCACGCGTTAGAGTACACAGTTATACTATGCCTACACGTTATGTCGATGTGTGCAGATTACAACCGGCCATTTAATAAGAACTAAGTTTAATGGTAATTATTAGTATTAATTTAATAACTTACCTAGAGTCGATGCTCAAAATGTCCACCTCCTCTCTGCAGATAGAGCGGAGTATGCTCTTTTGTATGCCGGAGCACGCGCGAAAGTACATTACTTTCGTTATTTTGCCGGCGGAGCTCTTCAAATGCTCCCACCAAACCTATTAAGTGCGCTTGTAACAACGCGAAGGTTTGTAGGGTGTGGAGGAGAAAAAAGTTCACGGTACAAACGTAAGGCTGCCCTTGCGTTATAGCCACACTACGTATAATAAAATTAGGTTCAAGTAATCGCTTGTTTCTAAAGACATTTTCAACTTAATTAAAATAAACTAACTAGTCTTCACTAAACTAAACACACACACACACTAGGTACTAGTTAACCTAAAACTGAATAAACTAAAACTACAAATGAATAATCGACGGAAAAGTTGCTTCGCAGCGGTACGGTGGCAGCTATGCAGTTACGTGTCTCACGCGCAAACGTCCGGCTGTAACTGAGTAGAAAATCGCGAAAAAGGCGCCGACGCCGACAGAACAAAAAAGCCGCCAGGCGAGGCGCGCACGGCAAATAGGTGGAGTCCGGTTCGCTTTGCCTTTGATAACCAGGGACGAATTCAATTTTTTTTTTCGAATTAATATTTTGTTTCCACGCAATTATTTTGAATTTTCTTTTTAAATACATTTTAAATAAGTAACTAAACCCTCAATTAGTGTTTTAACGTAAAGAACATTTGTGATAATGGATGATATCTATTTGAAATAATGTAGTAACGTAATGTAAATTAGTTAACATTAGAATAATCTTTTTACAATGATTTATTAAATTTTAGTCTATTACTTTATTTCAGCATTTTCAATGATCCGTTTAGTGATTGTCAGTTAGAAATAGTTAAAAAATAGTTAACTAACACACTAACATCACTTAGTTTTCGTTTCCGATTTTAGTTTTTTGATGATCAGTTGATAGCAGTTTGATAAAACTAGGACTATTTGACTTGTGAAATTAAAGAAACTTAGGTTATTGAGAAAAAGCAGAAGAGATTTTCTACTTTATTTCAAATCAGAAACAGGCTGTAAGTCTGTAAATCGATTTAAGCATTTTGACTACCTTGTTTATTGATTGTCTGGTAGAATTTGCATGAAAGCGGTCTTATAAATCACAAACTAGTTTATTTCTTTTTTAGAAATGAAGAAGTCAATGACCAATTAAAAACTTTTCCTTAGTATGTCCCAAAAACAGCTGACGCAGGGTTGAAAACACTCATTTTTTTCCAAAAACTTTGTACTTTAATATCTCCGAATCTATTTGACCTAGACATATATTTTTTTTACATCATATTAAAGACAAAAATAGTACTCTCCATGAACCTCGGGAGTGTCGGTCGTTCTGTTCCACCGAGTATGTAATTTATGCATGTCCACAGGCACTTTTCCTGATATAATAAAGAGAGCCTTGGTGCATCCTATTCACAAGGGTGGCAGTAAGGATTGTGTTGAAAACTTTAGACCTATTTCAGTCCTTACTGCTATTTTTTTTTTATCCGAGATGGGCTCACTCTTGAGCTCAGGCGTAATAATATTAAGCGTAAAGCCTAAGATGGGACGCGTTTGCCCAGAAAATACCTATTCACTCGTGCTTTAAATATTCTTGGGTTATAGGATACCGGGAAAACAGAGGCAGGTAGGCTATTCCACTCCTTGGCTGTGCGCATAATAAATGATGATCCAAAGCGCTTTGTTCGGATACGTGGAATGTGAACCAGGTGGGCGTGATAATTTGCTGTACGCCTGGATTCCCGGTGGTAAAAAGGTGCTGACGGAATGAGCCGATGCAGCTCAGAAGCACACTCTCCGAAGTACAATCTGTAGAATACCGACAGTGAAGCAATTTTTCGGCGATGAGACAGACTGTGGAGCTTGGAGTTATCGAGATCACAATCCCCCACAAGTTTTCTTGCTCTACGGTCCACCGAATCGAGCGCGGCAAGCTGGTTTTTGCTGAGCCATCCCAAAGGTGTGAGCAATATTCCATACACGGACGGATTTGCGCTTTATACAAAATAAGAAGCTGTGTCGGTGCAAAGTATCGTTTAACTCTGTTTAGGATGCCCAATTTTTTGGCCGCAGTTTGAGCTTTCATTTCGATGCTGTCACCGAAGTTGAGGTCTGAAGACAACCTCATGCCAAGAAGATCAAGATCGTCAGAGATTTCCACAGTTGTACCACGGAAAGAAAGAGCCAAGGTGAGAGGGCTCTTTTTGGCGGAGAATAAACACGCCTGTGTTTTAGTGGCGTTAAAACTGACCAAATTGTTATCCCCCTATTGGGAAAGAAAACTTAAGGCCAAGTTAGTCCGCTCAAACATGGCCTCTCTCTGGATACAAGTGTCCTCACTACTGGCTTTTGCGTTAGATATGTATCTCTCCGTAACCGTGCTGTGGTCTGCGTACCCAACAATACCGGGCATAAGCAGGTCGTTAATGTGCAGCAGGAAAAGAGTTGCTGAAAATTGTTCATTGTGATATCAACACGATATTAAGTTAAATTACAAATGGAAAACGAAATTAATTCATTCAGTTTGTTTGAGCAAAATGCTCAGGATCCTCTTGCTGGTTTTGACGAAATGTTCCTAGAGTTGGCTAAGCTTCAACGAGAACCAAAGAAGAAAAGGGGAAAACATGGAGCTCAAGAAGAATGTGCAGTGGTGCCTCCGAAAAGATCGAACTTACATAGTGTGGGATCCTATATTTACACTAATGAACCTAAACGAAGTTTTCGACTCATCAAAGTGGAGATTGTTGACTTGGAAAACAGTAGTACAGTGAAAAGTGAAAGTGACAACGAAAAAATACTGTTCAGCAGTCACTATGTAGTGGCTGATCATTATGATCCAATTATGGAACAAACGGAACAATTAATTAGAAATATAAGTAAGAAAATATGTGACAATAATTTTTAAGTGAATTATTAGATTTAGTAGTAGTTAGTTTTATATTTTATATTATTTTGAAATATAAACCCTAAAATATATTTTCTTTATTTTATTTTATCAATTTGACATTTTCATAATTTTTAAGATTAAAGATGTCGTAGTGGCATCAACAGATGCTTACGAAATTTCCTAGTCCCCATTGACTCGAGAATGGTACAGATATGCAAAATAATAGTAAGGTATTAATTTAAAATAATACACTTTTTTTTATAAATTTCATTTTATTAAACTTACACACAATTATTTAAATACCACTTCTTAATACAGATAACATTTTTTAGCGCACATTCTTTTTTATGGTCTAAACAATTAAAATTACATTCACACTTACAATATGTTTTATACAGATCTAAAAAATTAGGACTACCTTTTTCTTCAATATTTACCAAAAAACAGTTTTCACACAATTCCTTTATCCATTTCTGTTTCTCTAATCCTTTCATGATTATAATTTTGTTTTGTAAAATTGGAATGATAAGTTTTTTGAATTCTCTGTAGTCAATATTTCCTTCACTCCACATGATACCTCTATTTCGTTCAATCCATCTCACTTTCTTTTTTTCATCCACGGTTAACTTTGAATACGGGTAGGGTGGTTTTACTAAGAAAACCCGAGAAATATCCTTCGTCGACAATGCTAATTCTTTTAAAATGAACTTATTTTGATAATCTTTAAATCTTTGAATATCGACAAAAACAGTAGAAGTCATGATATTTTACGAACTATATTACTAAGAGGTTTATATTCGACTATGCAATCGTTTAAAATCAAACAATATGCTGATGTCTGGTCCGGTATCTCCTTATGGCTCTCTAATTCTAGGCGAATGTTAATAACGGGTCATGTTTTTATATTATCGTTCTGTCTTGAACAATCGATTACAAATATGCATATTCTCTAAATTCTTGAGCACTTAATAAACAACTCGATTTACGCGAATAATAAGACTGCTGAAATTTGCGAATTGTTCATATATTAAGGCATAGTTGTGCTTTGCAAAGTCGGTATTATAGCTTTCATAAGGGTAATAAATAGAATTTAAATAAACCTTAACATCACGTAGATTACAATGATCAAATTGGGACATATCTTTTGATCCATTATTTTTTCTATTAGTTTGCAAGCCGAGAATAACATACCTAGATTTTTCAATCTGAGTAGAAGTTTTAATTGACCATGTATGTTTAGTGGTCTTTGGTAGCATTGGGTATTCGTAAAGATCCCAGTTCCGAAACGTCAATTGAATTGGTTTATCTTTTTCCAGAATTTTGAGTCAATTGATTTTTTCTCTGTCAGATACTTTGACATGAGGAACACGCCAAATTATTTTATGTATATCAATACTTTCTATTACTTCATCGTTATTAAGTT